TTTCCGCCGTTGTCTCATAAAAGCTCCCAGTGAACGACTTTTTCCCCAAGACTTTCGAATTTTTAACCCAGATTCGAAATAGAACGAGAGGCTTGTATTTTTAAAACATTCGAGCTGAGGCTTTGTCGAATAATTATGAAGCTTGTTAATCCCACTAGAAACGCAATGCGTCTCAGCCGTTAGGCCCATCAAAGTTTTTGACTCGAACTGCTCTTTCTCTCGCTCTTTCCCTTTACGCCATTCCCTTAGACGTCTTTGAGAATTTCCACCACAGAAATACGTTGCTTGGCACGATTTTCGTCGACCGTAAACGTCATGATTCTTCTTTATTCCTTTGAGATTACAAATACAGCAGCTCGTAAAAGTGCTTGTACTTTTATCACAAAAATCTTTTATGCATAGGTATATGTCATATAAAAAATTTTCAAGCTTCATTAATATTGTAGCGAGACAGGACGGGCTGTTATGCTTTCGTTGGTAAAATTTAAACTACTCTTTATTGTAATTTTCTTTCTCTCTTTTTTTTTGTAGAAGAAATGCGTGAGGGAATAGATAACTTCAGGCAACGTTTGGAAGTTCAATCTTCGTTAACCACACGTGCGTCCAGTAATTTGTATTTGCATGGAATGAGAACGCGTCGTGCAAAAGAACTCATTAATTATTCACACTCGTTAGAAAGCAGCGTGGCGAAACAGAGTAAAAAGCGTCAGTTCGCTTACGGTTAATTAAAAAGTACCGGCTACCGTGTTCCTCTCACCTACCGTGACATCTTGACGAACTTCCTGAAACAGAGGCCTTTATGATTCTCTGAAAGAGCAATTTCATCAATTAAATTCTCCCTGGACGACATTACACCGCGTCGCCTCTGTGGCGAAAACCTCAAAAGCCTTTGGAGTCTCTATAAAAAAGCTGAAACTTTTACGTGTACTAATATATTCTGCTTTTTGAAAAGTATAGGTGTCGATAATAACGCAAAGATAAACATATTTAATACCATCATTGTTATCAACGCGTCATTGCTTTATCTCTATAAATTATTCATCAAAACATTCGATTGCAATCAAAATTGAAATTATACATGCACGTAAACTATTGTTATTAGTATCTATCGTATATTCGAATTGATAATCCGTTTCAACAAAGAGTGACCCGCATACGGGAATTACGACAGGTTTCATTTCATATTCCCTATCTTTTTTTTCTTTTTGTTCTACGTCTCTTTTCCTATTTGTTGGCCATGTCGCTCCGAGTGAAATATTATGAGCAAAATCGTCCGGTCGAGCGCGGGTCGCATTTAAATGGCCGTGGGCGCGCAAACAAACGCGGTAACTCAATGTATCAGTTCCATATATCGCGGGTTAGCCAATATAATACCGGCCTATTCGATGGACGATCACAATACGGGAAGGAAACACTTTGGAATTCCGTCGCGAAATATTTATATTCCGATATCACTATCTATCTACAATCGAGGGGTTCATACGCAAGTACGTCTGGAACGCTAGTGTTGTGCACGGAAGCACTCGTTCCAATACAAATCCAATAATCCGTCAGATATTGCCACGTTAACGTTGGGAATTTTGTGAACGTAGTTTAGAGTAACTTGAACTGTATAACTATTCTGTTAAAATTATTATTCGTGTAAATCTCTCCTAAAATCTCGTAACAAAGCCAACATCTTGATTTATACGTTTTCTGGAGTTCATCTGCATTTGATAGCAAAAACGTACAATCCTGCCTTATGGACATAATTCCTCGACTTCGTAGGACAATCAGTGGATATTCTGAATTTAGAGTCACGGAATTCTTGGCAAGACAAGCAGAGAAACTTGTTTGCTCGAATCCTGTTCAGCTGAAACACTATCGACGCTGTTGTAAGTCGGTAAAAGGAAGCTTAGGCGCATTTTGCCTTTTCCTTATTGTTTGACATAAGCATACTTCCTGTCTATCATAATTTTTCTTAATGTGATATTTACGAAAGATTACGTTTTTTATAAATAAAAAGGAAATATTTTCCTTCGTGTTCGACAAGGTGAAAAAGTTTCAAACAGCAACGTTGATTTCTATCCGTGGCGTCGATTCGATGACGTACTCAATTTCAATAAGAGTTCTCCAAGGAAACGTCTTACTGCGTACAGCGCTAGAACGATTTAGAAAGCACACGAATGCAATCCTTCGACGAACACGACTTCTTCAACGTTCCCCTTGAGAGCGCGGCTGAGGCGAAGTTCACACCGAGCAAGTGGAAAGAGACCGCACTGATCAGCCGTCGATTCCCCTAAGCGCAACTTTGCTGAATCCCTTTATGAATTTTTACATATATCACAGCCATTTTTCCACTTGATTACAACTGCTACAAGATTCCCAAAATTATTCTCCTGACTATTAAAAATAAATATAAATATAAAAAATAAATATAATAAATGTATAAATGTATAAATTGAAATGAAATTATAAATGTATAAATTATACCAATAGGTATAAATGGAAAAATAGTCTCGTGGCTCATAGTAAAAAATTAGGAAAATTTTGTGTGCGTAAAATATGAACAGGACTTCAAGCGAAGAATACAGAGCACACAGATTGCACGGCACGTGCAAACAGGAAAGTGCATGAGTTTCTATCTATGGGATCTTTATCGAGTCACCGGAATCCAAATATACTGAATCCAGGCTTCTCGACGTTTCCCTCTAGTCTCCGCTAGCATTCCTTAACGTGACTTTGAACGACAACCAGCGGGACGTAGGAAGAAAATATACACTTTGAGACAATGGATCATCCTAATGGCTGCTGCGATCGTTAGCAACAACTTTATGAAAACCGACAAATCCTTCAACAATCCCATGACGTGAACTTTTTACATCAGACTACCTCTATCCTCTTATCTTTCTTCTATGAGAAAATTTTAATATCGCGAAATAAATTTACTGTAATTTTTATATCGAAACCAATATGAAAGAAATATGAATAATTCAGAGGACGCTATATTTTTGAAAGCTTAATTAGGCGATGGAACTTTCGTAGATTGTGAAATAAATTTCCGAGAATATGCGACACTCTGTATTCATCTTCCATGCATATCATAAATTTTTATTAGAATCGCGATGCTTTAAGCACCGACGCGATGGAAGGATCGTCAGTTTGAAAACTAGAAACGCGAATTAATCTTTTCAGCTAGCGATAATTAGACAAGCGAGGGTGTACTCTTGTCTAAGGATCGTTTAGAAACAATTAATTCAACTTGGTCAATTATCGTTGATGTCGTTTCGGAAGAGCGATGGAGATCGATTGGTTTGAAAGAAGTTCTCTGCTAGGGAAACTTTCGCCACTGACGTAGATAAATTCGTCTACCGTCGATTACATTTCAGCCTACAATTTCACCGTGTAAATTAATACCTACAAGCCCTTCCAGCTTAAGGGCGGTTAACAAAGGAATTGTCCTTCGTGCTTTTAGTTATTTGAAACGAAAGAGAAATACGGAACGTGAGCGAGACTCACCGAGGGTACAAAATTGATGGAACGATGAAATAAGGTAACAAAGTAAAATAGAAGAGAATTAAAGTAGTCTGACTGGCAGACTGCTCGAAAATGGATCATTCTTAATAAATTCCTTAACGCACGCTACACGTAAAGTTTTAAAAATGAAATAAAAAAACAGAAAAAATATAAAAATAAGAAATAGAACGCAGGACGAAGAGCGAAACTTCATCTTTTATCCGTGTGGAAGCATGCAAGGATTGATATAACGAACCTCGGCAAATAAAATTGATTACCAAAGTTGTGAAAGTTGAAAGTTTCGGGCACGTATAATATTATGACCAGGAAAATGACGCTTGGCTACAGAATCTCGTTTATATCTTCGCCTCGTTTGAAATCCCCCATCTGATCAAATTATATCCTGGATTACTCTGCCAGGCTCGATATCGATCACAGCTCCTAAACGTTATTTTTTCATTTAACATCCTAACAACTAATGATAGTGGACGAAATAAGGGTCGCGCGGAGTCACTGAGACCATGAAACTGACACTTAAGGTCATTTGAATGTCGCAAGGGATCGTAGAGATCGCGAAATGAAATTGACAATTAAAGTCATTTGAAGATTCTGAGGGGTCACAAAGATCATATCAATGATAGTCATATCAGAATTGCAGAAACGATGTCAATGACTTTGGACGCTTGTAATGTTCGTACAACGCAATACGTAAAGCAATCTATTAAATATCAGCATGGCTCTTTGTCGGAATTCTTAGGATTCAAGAGATACGACAGCTTTCCGAATAATCTGTTGATTAATTCTTCGTCCAAAGTTCCTGTAGCCATTTACCGTGGTTTTAATTTAATGGCTTCCCTCTCGCGAAATGTACGTCGCCGGTATTGGAAATGTTTTACTTTCTTTGTAAAAGAAACTTTTGTTGTTCCTCCCTAAAGTTTCGCGGATTATACGACTCAATTAAGTAATTGTAAAGCAATGAAGCGCACATTTATTTTCAATCGTTGCTTTCAGTAGACGTTAGCTCGCGGCCAAACGCGATTATAAACGTTTCGCTCTTACGAAGGTGTAATCGATCGTCTGTAATTGCGTCCGTTCAACTTGTCAGGGGTCTAATTGATATAATGTAATTAAAAGGTTGGTGGAAAAATATACGGAACAGAGAGACGATGTTTCGAGTTAAACGTGTTGCTAACATCGAAACATTTTCTTGCCAGCGATAATTTCTTACGCGACCCTGCCATATTCGATCGCCGGAATTTAATTAAAGATTGATTCTCCATGACTCTACTATAAACAACTCATTAAGCTGGATACAAAACGATCGACTAATGACGAAGCGTACGTAAATGCTTTCGTCAAAGTATCTAAAGTTATTATTTAGGCCGCTGGTTATTTCACCACAAAGTATTACTACAAACAACTTATACAAAAAAAATTATTTTCCAAGTTTTCGAAGAATCCCAGCATCTCAGTTATTGATGGTTCGACTTTTCTTAATGTTACAGGTGCGATCTTTACGGAAGATCAAAAGGACAGCCCTTCGGAGCTGGCGTTCAAATATGCCATCTACAAGATCAACAAGGACAAAACTCTGTTAGCGAACACGACGTTGGTCTACGACATTCAATACGTTCCTAAGGACGATTCTTTCCGAACGTCGAAGAAAGGTAAATCTGCAGCATCGTTCTCACTATTTCCATCGTGTTCTCCTTCACATTTTTCACAAAATTATAGCAGAAATCTACGCATTTATATCTCAGTCTTCTACATTCTCCATCATCCTAACACTGACACTGTATCAGTTCTCGTTTCGATCGCAGCGGAACGTATTTAACACCTAGAAACGTCTAGGGCAAACATCTCGACACTGAAACGTTACAGCGCTGATAAGGCACGGATTTCGTATCTGATAAATGGGAGACGCACTCGAGTGCACGACTCTTACTATTTCAGAGCTTAATAAACTACAGAAGGTTCAAGGTGTGACAGTCAGACGAACGTTTGTCGGATTTCCGTTCTATCTACTATTTCAAGCTGATTTCTATCGTCGATACCATCTTCGGTTCCATCGGCCTCGTAACTTTTCACACTCGTCGAGAAATCGGTATTCCGCGGCGTGCATGGTGAAAGTTGGAACGTAGAGTCGGAAAAGAGATCGTCGTTCCCCATTCTCGAGACAATAATATCGATCGGCAGACGCCGTAAGCCAGATACAGCTCGTATTTATTCCCATACGATCCCGCAGACCGTGTGAATTTTATAGCGACTTTTTTGATCAGAAATGATGGAGATCCTCGTTTTCAAAGGGATTATTCAGCGCGCACTGCCGCTACAAAGAAAAATCATGGATCTTCGAAATGGTAGAATTAACTTCGTCGCATTAACCGTAAAAAGCGGAAGTAAAACACCAAATGTAACTGTGGCTGTGGAAATCTGTGGCTGTGGAAATCTGTGGCTGTTCTTAACTTAATCCCACCCATACGGGTACAAGCCGACCCTTCGAATCTTCGAATAGATTTCTCTGTGGAAACTTGCGTTACCAACCAACCCCACGTCGTAGAACAATGTTGTTCCAAGTTTAATTTCTAACATATTTTTTCTGGCAAACCAAAATATTTCAAAATTTGTTTTTCGATCTTTAATTACTGCAATAGTAATTAATTTAATACGTTGAAATGCAAAAAAAGAGATAATTGAGAATAGTTTTTTCTAAAATTTATGATTATCTTTATAAAAAAAACAAAAAAACAAATTCGATTGTTTACAGAAAAGATGAGACTATATGATTTTTCTTTAAAGATATTAATAATTATCCGACTAGTTTGTGAAATTGAGAATTTCATGAAAAGTAGATAAATTTATTATCATTATTATTGTCATTACGAATAATAATTATGGATAATTGTAAATAAGAAAACAGATGTCGTATGCGCTACAGACTAATTCGTTTTCGACAATAACTGGAAGTCGATATTTCAGTGATTTGATTTCAGCGAGCAGAACACGAAAACAGAGAGGATAGAGGGAGGGGGTGAGGGCGAAGTCATAAGATGAAATTTATGCAAAATAATTCCGTAGGCAAGTCGGGGTGAGCCGCCGCGAAACCATAACAATGTTTCTTGCTGGCCGATCGTAGGTGGCCAGCGAGCGTAAATTGCAAACCGTAAATCTGCACGGACATCGATAAATTTGCAACAAAGTTCTATCCGCTCCGAATATCTATTTCGTCGAGTACGCAGTTCGGATTATTGAGACTCAAAGACACTTCATTTCCCATCGCATCGCGTCCTTTTCATGCGAGCGTATTTCACAGCCGGACAATGGGGAGAGTATTTTCGAAAGGATACTCTTCTGTTCAAGAAATCCCATCGCTCGGTTTGTAAGATACAGTGGAAATACGTAAAATGCCGTTATTGTCTCGAACAGTCGTGGTCATTAAAACTATATAATACTCAGATTACTTTTATTGAAATACGAAGTGTGGATGTAATCTCTTGCAACACGATTTTTCATAGTGGGTACTTAACGTTAGAAATTAAAGAACCGAAATACAAATCAGCCATATTGATAGGAAACTGATCTCGATCATCCATCTTGCTACTAAAATTCAGAAATTTTCAAAAATTGAGTTAATCAGTCTAATTTATGAATGATTGGAACATTTCTCCTTCGAACTAAATCCAAACAGCAGGCGCATCCTAATTAACGTTAACTCGTAAAACAAACAGCGCTCTGAAAACAATCACATCATAATTCCGCTACAGGGATTCTCCCGCCCACTACCTACATTAATCCTGAGTAAATTAACCCCAGAATCTACCCTTGTCCATGGAATAGGATCGGCTTAAAATACATTCGTTGGAACGACTTGGTAGACCGCATTTACTTACAATCAACCGCGTGTGGTTGCCGACACCCTTTCCAGGATCTCAATTTTACCAGGACGATTCCACTCACGTCATAAATATGCTGGCGACGAGCCCTTGCAGTCTGACATCTCGTACCCACGTTAGCTTCCGCGTTTAAAGGTATTCCAGCCTCGTCTGAAAAGATTTTCCATTTTCAGTAGTCTGGCTGGATACCCAGGGCCACACCATCGTTCTCCATTTTCCTCAGTCCCTTAGCATCTCCGTTTGCATCTCTTCTTCTCGTAATAAATCCCCGACGCCACGGGACCACGACTCGGTACGCACTTTTTTCCTCTTCGTCTTGTCAAGTCTTTCGCGACGCGGGCTTAACATCGTCTACGGACTGGCTTAAATCCCCATGAAAGCTAATGTCCCGATTTGCTGATGTAGATTTATGAAGAACGGGATCCAGGTGTTGACAATGCGACGTTTTGTTTGGATAGGAATTTTGAAAGTTGCTCTCCGTGAATGAATGGGGCAACTCGCTCGTGAAATTTCGTGAAATCACAAGTCGGATTTTGTGCTCTGATGTGGAGTTTTGTTCAAAGTGAAACACATGGAAAGTGCAAGCGTACAGTGAAATCTTACGACGCAGAATAGTATAAAGCAGAGAAAATATCGCGACAATATTCATAAAATACGATAAATTCCTCTGTACGTCGTCTATTATTTAAATTCTCAAGTTTCCTTATTTTCAAATTTAAAACTTTAACTTTCTAATTTCCTAATTGTTTAATTTTCTACCTTTCCAATTTTCTAGCTTTCTAATCTTCTAACTTTCTAATCTTCTAATTTTCTACTTTCCTAATTACCTAATTTTTAAGTTCAGTTGCCCAAAATTCGCGTTTCCAAGTCTCACAAATCTATAAACGTATCAGTTTCATCTTTCATTCTTTTCATTTTTCTCGCAATTAACTTTCGATGCTCGTATGCGATCAGGAAAAGTATGATTTCACGAATTGACCGGCGCGGCGTCGATGTTCCGCCTGACCAGAGCGATGTCAATCGCGCGACAAATTCAGATCAGATTTATTCACCGTTAAACGTCAAATTCTGGTCGTAGTTTCGACCCCTTTTACGATCCCAACCCGATTTAAAATACAAAACAAGCCTGATGTAAAAATACAAAAAAAGAGAAAATGGTACTCGTTCTATCGATTCCTTTTTTCGAAATTCATCATTCAGAAGCTCGTGTATGTGGGCAGAAAAATTATCGTCCATGCCGGAAACTAGCCGTGCCTGCACGAACCACTGAAAGAGAAGACAAAGCCGGCGAACATGGCGAAAATTGAATTCGCGAGGGAAGGAAATCAGCTTGGGAACGGCACTCGATGAATTTCTGAGAACTGCCTGTTAGGATTATAGTCGGCGCGTATATTGGCGCCGCATTCGAGCGGAACGGGAAATGAATCGACCAGCGAGGAAAATTAGATTTTCCAGCGAAGCTTGGTCGATCGTCCGCGAGAAAAGTTCCTTGTATCGCGAAGTATAGAGTCGTAGAAAAATTAAGCGAATAGTTTTTGTTTAGATTTCCATATCCTGCCGACAGACAGTAGAGTACTATGCAAAAATCATAGTCAACTTATGGTTTTGTAGTAATAACTGATTCCTTAAAAAATATTGTACATGATATTATTAAGAAATAAACCTTTAGATATTCTCTGCTTTATAAATTTTCTAAAAATATTCCCCTGAATAGATCCATAAATGCAATATTAATTATTTCAATATTTACGAATGTTATTTAACAAGTTACCAACAATACCCAAATTAACTTTTTAAAGAAAAGTAAAATATTTCCGCTTGGTAGATGATCTATCATACGAGATTTACAGAGCAGATATCGTAGCTGCACGTACTTTAAATTCGTCCATTTGTTTTCACTGACCAAATCGATAGTAATTGAAGCATTCCAATAATTATTGATATCTGTATCCGTTATTACTCTAATAATAACTTGTTTGATGTATATTTAATGACTACTGATCAGAACGTCGAAGTAGTTTTTATATTAATAATCTATGATAAGCGACACGTATACATAATAATGTGTCATGTATCGTATTATATTCCCATTCAGTTGCGACAAATCTTTGATTTTTTTCGCACAATGGGAAAGGCATTCGGTTTTTTACAATACCATGTAATAATGATCATAGTTAATAGCAAAACCGTCCGTACGAAGTCTTATAATACCAGTTTCATCGTAATAAGGAACTCTTTCGATGCTTTTATCAATATTTAGAGAGTCTTCGCAACTTCGTTTCAAGTGTATTCGATTATGCTCAAACTGGCATACAAGAAAGCGGAAGACACAAAGAACCGGAGAAGTAACAATTTCTCAAAATTCATTGAATAACTTACACCGAATCCCTTTGATCTCTCGAGGCGGAACATTTTAATGGAAGCTTTCGTTTATTACCGGCAAACTCTCTCTTTACGTTATAGCCATTTCTTTGTGGCCAGGATCCCCGTTCATCTGCAGCATTCACTGATTTGCCGGAAAATCTTCCCTCTCAGATGTTCAGCTTCTTATACACGCGCCACTCTGCAAAATTCGTGTAACACCTACGACAATCGTTCCCTCGCGATAAAAACTTTTTTCGGCTGATATCGCGCGAGAAATATACTACTTTCGGATAGAATAATTTAATAGAGCACTCGAGTCACGAATCCAACGGTCCTCGACGATCATTTTTTATCATCCCCTCTTGCGGAGAAGCCAAGAGAAAGGAGACACGGATGCGACCGATGTAATTCGTTTAAAACGGGGAAGTGCACTTGAAAGCGCTGATGGAGAACTTTTTTTCGGCAGACAGCTAAATGGGACCGTTTAAAATCCGGATGACACGCGAACACCCGTTGTATTTTTAATTTACTGCTTTCCCGTTGGACACTCTTTTACTCCCATTTCGTCTCGGTATTCCTATGCTCCGGACAAAACCTCTATACCTTTGTTCGCGCCTCTACAGAAGGACCAGTGATTCCGCAGAAAATTCAGGTCAACCGGAACGCAAGATTGCTAACATTTCGCTTCCTACTACGTCCGAACTTTCAACGAGATTTCCGCGTCGCAATTAAATCAGTATTCGTGATTCAGGAGAAGAAAAAACGAAAGAAACACAAGGAAAATATATCACAGCAGAAATGGTAAAATGTTGCGATTCGAGGGTTCCGATGCGGTTGGTCACTTTGTTACCCTTCCATTTTTCTCTATCGATCTGTAGACGTACGAGTTCCCATCCTCGAGATGGGCAACAAAACTGAAAAGGCGATGTTTAACGCAGATTTAATCCCGTGTTTCCTCTCGTTACCATTTTGAAAGCATTTGCGGAAGAGAGCCACGATTTTCCTCGGTGAATTCATGCAACGTGACTGTTAACTCCACATTGTTACGCAATCTTTGGCCCTGCATTCCCCGTGTACAAATGGTGACTGCGACGAACGAACGAACTACGGAAATTAGTGACGAAGCCATTTCTGGATGTCAATGCACTCGGTGACTATCGTCGATCGTCGCGACGCCGTTTCTCCATCGTTAAACGAAAACTAAACTACGGTAGGATTTTACTTCGCAGTGAGACGTATTTTTGTGTGAAACTATCGTTGATTATTTTCGATTAATAACTCGAAGGAAGCAATTTTAATGGTCTGAGTGTAATAAAGATTCATGTTTAATCTGCTATCTGATCTGTTAATCCATTTTGTCTGCCTTATTGATGGCACTATAGTACATTTTATGTACCGAGGTATTCTCTTGGGTATCTGATGTTGAATAACAATTGCAATGCAGATCCGATTATTGCGGAATGTATAATATATTAAATGCCACATCAATTTTGTAAACAATTTTGCAGAAATTTTACATGAATTCAAAGTAATTGCTATGAAATAACCACGTACCATCTAGCTGAAGGAAATTGTACACGAGAATATTTGACATTTACGAAATTAGTTATTGGTGTTTTATTCGTGAAGGTAAATCTTCTCCAGACTTTCTGAAAACCGCACTCTGCTGGGAGTGCTTAGAGAGCGGAAGTGAGCGGCCCGATAACTGATCATTCGAAGCATTTCCGCGTTTGGCGTGTTGAAACGGGGGGCAGTGTTGGTTCGTTAACCGGAAGAGCAGACTTCGTAACGAAATAGCGAGACTTATTTAGCAACGTTAATCAAGACTTAATCAAGACTTAATCAAGAAGGGACGACGACGAGCGAGGAATTTCGAATTATTCGTGGTGGAACAGTCAAAGAACTAACTGAGTCTTCTGTTTGTCAGACGCAGAGATCCAGGATTTTCGTTGCACCCTTGAGGATACAGATACCGGCGAATTCAAAGAAAATTACGGTCGCTGGACAGCAAGAGATCGATCTTTATCGAAGAATAATAAAACGCTTCTTACTGGCTAATAAATCTTCTTAAATTAGTTTCTTCGATTAAATGGAAGATAGCGAAATTATATGAACAGATACAATCTCTAACTAAACTGCAATCCTCAAGAACGACAAGAAAGCTATTCAGAAAAATTAAATTTCGAGTTTTACCGTTCCTATATCACTCAGCACCGATCAGGTACCCAAGCGCGATAGATTCAATTAAATTTCTTTCTCGAAAGGTATTACCTTCCGTGGCAAGAATTTCATTGCCTAACGAGTTTTCGATCGCGCGTTAAGTGAAACCGGCAACGTAAACGAAGAAACGATGAGTCAGATGTCTGACATGGCAGCCGATCGAAAGGCAATGGAAAAAAAGACGAAGTCACGTGAATAATTCAGCGAACACGTAGCAAACGAGAATACTTAGACACGCCGGAATCCCACTTTCGAAATCGAATTCATCCATCGTGGCGTGGAGTCGGCCGCTCTCTGCACGCGTGCCAGCCACGATCCTTTACGAAAGGAGAACAGCCGTTCTGAAGGTATATCGCGGATAATGGATCAGGAAGCCGTCGGTCTGATAACGTATCAATTTCCTGTCCATTTTCTACGATGCTCATACGCGCGTACAGACATCGAACTCGTAAATCATACGGTCACGTCGCTTCTATCGGGTCCATGAATGCTCGATTAATACGCGAGCCGTGCGTCGAATATGTACGCAGTCGATGGAAAAGTATCACGAGACGGTATTGTCGCGAAAAACTAGCGGCTCGGTTAAAAATATCTGTTCCGATACACGCCTTTGATTGTACGTTATGATTCGTAAGTTGATACGGTGACATCCGACCGTTTCGTTCGTACTGGTATCGTTAAACTTTCAACGTTTCGAAAATTTGTTCCGATCCACGATTCTGATACGTTGTGATTTGCTAGTTGATACAGTGACATCTGATCGTTTCATCCGAACCTACATCGTTCCGACAATTTTCACTAACTTTCCAATGGTACACGTACACATGATCCTATACCGAAGGTAAAGATTATATAATATCGTAAAAATAATAATATATTGGGCAATTAATTGTATCGAGTTTGCATATTTATCTCTAACTATATGTTTAACTTCCAGTGTTTCATGGAAGTGTATGATGTAACACATCATATATCATCATATACTATATTAATACTATACTAAATTAATACTATATTAGGGAACTGACTGTCATCTAGTAAAATAGATTTTTACGGCATCGAAGGGTTACAAGTAATCCAGTGTATCGACATCCCGGATTGCAGTTCCGAACCAAAGACGCTGGTAATGATGGAATGAATGTTCATTGAAAAGTCGTAATGCAAATGTTTCGTCGTGGAACTGATTCTAGACGATGGGAACGCGACTACAGAAAGTAGTGGCGCAACTTGTTTACTGACGAGGAAAAGAGGAAGCGGCAAAGTTCCGCGTCAATCTCTTTCTCGCCTGATTCGCGCCGCGGCCACGATGAAAGTTTACGAGGAGATTACCAGGAAATAGTGTAGCAACGACGCTGTAAGGGACAGAATCTTCAGCGTGGCACAGCTTTCCGTGATGTAAAGATCCCGAGTGTGTCTCGCCTGGAAATATGAAATCAGTGTGTCACTGGCACTCCTCCCCGTATTTCCATTTCAACACTTTTCTCTACCGCTTACCTGCTTGCCTCCTAAACTCTTCTTCAACTCCATTTACGCAACACTGAAGTAATATGGAGGTGTTAACCTATATATGAGCCACTCAAAAGTCAAATGGATCGACTCTATTTTCTGAAATATTTGTTGCTTTCGATGGCAGAGTACATGATTTGTTTTTAATACTTCTGTATTTAATACTTAATGTTGATCAACTTTATAAATGAAACGTAGAGAAATATATCAATTAACAAAAAATAACATTCAAAAAATAAATATCGTGTCTCAAGATGTGTCTTGAAATTTTCAATTATTTATACTCTGTGATTGTAAATAAATTCGTGGAAATAAATTCTTCGTATTTTGGTATATTGATTGTAAATATTCATATAATAATTGCTTCCAAGTAAATTTAATTAAGTTAGTGTATACTATTTCAGCGTGCAAGCAACTGTCCAGATCGGTGCAGGGGATCTTCGGACCGTCTGATCCTCTCCTCGGTGCCCACATTCAGAGTATCTGTGAAGCTCTCGATGTCCCGCATCTGGAGGCAAGAGTGGACTTCGAGCCAACGTTCAAGGAGTTTAGTATAAATCTCTATCCGTCGCAGGACCATTTGAACAAAGCCTTCAAAGATCTCATGTCCTTTCTAAACTGGACCAGGGTGGCCATAATTTACGAAGAAGATTATGGTAAATATCTAATCTTTTATATTTATTTTGTTACACTTCTCATACGATACCTAGTAAAAAACTTTCCTTTTCCTTGAAAGAATTTACGTATCACTTTAGGCTACCGCTTGAATTGTTCTACACGGTCCAAGATTTAAATTTGTAACAATTAGAGATAGCCATAACCATGTTTCATTTGAGGATGGCTATTGCTTCGAGCTTGCTTGTACCCAATTTGTTTGTACACACTATTTTTGTGTAACCATTCAATCCTAAACCAGAAATTCACCATACACTTTGCACTTATATCCTTGTTACCGCTCAAAAATCGTGTTATTCAAAACTCGTTGCTCGTAAGCATAGTTATACACATATTATGTTTCGTGGGACGATGGGAAATAAAAAGATACGACGAAGAGGAGAACCATACCATTGAAACAATGGAGCAAATACCCTAGATGTCGGCAGATTTGCAAGCATATGAGTAGCGCTCTCCAAGGAGTCACGAAACAGCGCTTTCGCGGATATCGTGCCGTAGCGTGTCATACAGCCTAGTTATTACGCTGTTCCATCTTTTTTCTCTCCTTTTGTTTTGTTTTGTTTTTCTTTTCTTCTTTTTCAACAGCTAACTCCACGTGTCGCGTCGCGTCGCGTCGGTTGGCGCGATGCGTTCCTATGCAAATAGAACGTCGGAGTCAGCCGGCGGAAGTGGATGCCAACGCGACGCTGAAATGTACGCCTGTCACCTGCACGCACACGCAAACCAACCTATTCCGCGTGTAAAATCACACGATTCGTCATTATCGTCGACATTTCTTCCATCTACTTTTCCTACAAGTGTCACTGAACAATCTTCGATTTCTTCGTTTCGAAAATCTCTAAATACCAATTTATTTTTATATTAAATTTCAATATTTCGTATCGGATACAGTGTTACAACAATAAGTATCTAAATATTAACTAAATAGCTACTGGAGAAATGATAAAAAAATGATTATATTTCCAGAACAATTGAATGTATATGTGTATCTTAAGAGACCAAAGGTTTTAGTTCTACTATCGTTGATATCGGAGTTTTTGCTTACGGATTTGCAGCTTGCTGGAATTTGAAGTTCCAATATTATTCCATTTCGCGAATATACTTCTTAGACTAGGACTTCTACTTTTGATACTTTTCCTCCAGCTTTGTTTCTCAACTTAAATATATAGGATATAATCTTGAGATTGGAGGAGGATTGTTTAATATTTGAAAATTAAATATTATTGGCCCAGAGCTTTCAGAGTCCAAGCGTATCCAGTGTAACTTAAACCTGTCTGATCCTTGGTCTTCTTCATGACCTCGTGCTTTTGAAGGCCAAGGTTTATTATCCTTGTGTTTTCGAGGTCAAAGCGCTCCTTGCTGCTCCTTCACCTTGCTGCTCCAAAGTTACTCTCATTTAATTAACACCTTCTAAAGTCAACGTTCTCTTGTTCCCAAGCTCGCAAGTTTCCACTTCGAGCTTTTTACTCAAGAATGGCAGAACATAATGCGAAACAACTTAGCGAATGAATTATAGTCAAACATTCGTTGAAATTTATGCCATTCCTTCAGCGTGTTTCAAGTCTTTAATAACTTATGAAAATAGTTTTTCCAAATTCCTGCATCGTTATGAAATTTTCACGTTTTATAGGAAACCAGAGCGTTTTCTAATATTTACAAAAAAATGGTGGTTAAAATATCGTAGCATCGAAAGTAATCTCGTGTAGTCAATGAATTTCGCAAAAAACTTTCACGTAACGTTAAACATTGATCGAGTGCGGGGAAAAAATTGATTGCAAAGCTCAGTTTTTTTCACCGAAAACGAAAACCATGTTTTATGGTGGTTTACATCGCTTTCATTTATATTTCGTTTGAAAAAAATATTGCATTTTTAACTGGTTGGTAATTGGACAAGGAAAAAAGGTCCTGTTATCTTAAGTGAACTATTCAAACTTCGTTCAATTTTAAAAATTACACAATGGCCGAAGGAAAGGAGAGTGATCATTCTTTGAAATTACTTCTCCTGATTAGACGACGTAATCGCTTACGGAATGGCGTGCAGGAAGCGGAACGTTTCCCGCTAAGACCAAGAAAAGACCTTAGGAAGGATGTCCCTTTTTTTACATCCTGTGACAGCCATAAATTTCCCAGCAGCGATTCCGAATAGAGACGTTTGAAAATTTCTTCTCGCTGAAGCATGTCACTGAGCATTTCCTCGATATTCTGTCTGATGGAATATATTTTTCAGCTCGGCTATTCATCGAAAATGCGGCAGAATTTTGCCTTCCGTAGCACGACAAAGCTTTCCCGCGGGTCGATCGTTTAAATGTGAATCAACGTTCTTCGCTCGAGCCGGCCGTGCTTCGCGAAGCAAAAGAAAATGATCTCTGCTTAAACTCTTGCATTATCCTAAGGATTTCGATCTTCGGACTTCTCTAAATCCAATTAAAATGTAATCTAAGAAGAAGCTCCATCTGCCATAGCAATGTCGCTTCTGTATAAACTCCTGGAAGAACCCTCAGTCTTCTTGAACCTTCAGCAAGGGTCCCGCAAAGGCGGTTCAAAGCTTTCTATACCACAAAGCTCCTTTGCTCAAGACCCCTAATAATTCTCACCTGCTAAATGCAACGAGCAGAACAACTCTACGAGGTGACATGGTTACAGCAACAAGCCTTTATTAACGTTTCACCGTTGGGTTTCGCTGTTTGTTACGCAGAGAATATAGGCAACCCGAGGCCTACAGTTACAAATGTGCGCGTGTATGTAAATCGGGACAGGCTAGACGTCTCTGTCGCGTTCATCGCGCTTTGTGCCAGACCCGCCAATTATTCTTCCACGGATTAATTACCCGAGCCATGCTTTGCCTTCGAACAGGATGACTCGGCTCTTTGGCTGTCGCGAATCGAGTCACGACACGGCGTTAAGCTGGCATGAATAGACGCTTGAATCTCCGCATCGAAAGCGCGCCATTGTGTCCATGTTTTCGTGTAACAGTACTGCAATGGTTCTGCACGAAAATATTAAACCGCAATGGGAAACGGAGATGAATGGTTCTTTTCAACATTGGTTCGTTTTAACATTCATCGAGGTTGAACACTCGAAAAACTCCTTTCAGACCCATTCGAACATACGTACGGAGGAAAATGTCGATGATTCTTTGGTATGAATGAGGTGGACTTTGGCGGCCCTTGAGATGACGAAGTTACGTTTCAAATAGAAGGGGTGTTTCGATAGAAGTTTTATCTAGGTTCTTTGGAAATGGCAGGTTAATCGATTTGGAATTTAGTGAATTGAATAACTTAATGATCTGTAGTGTTGCCATTTGAGTATTTTTCTATCAGACGAGAAATCTGAATGATAGATGATAGACAATTTTATTAAATTTATTTAATATTTCATATTTCGTTTCATGTCAAAAAAATTGTATGTATTATTCATACGTGTCCGTGTCTCCATCAAAAAAGTTTGACAAGGGAAAATATTTTTAATACATAGTTTAAATAAAAATACAATGTCATCTTCTGGTAATAAATGATCTGAGAGTTCCCAATATACATATATCAAAATACTGAAAATAAATAGCAATTTTATTCACATTAACACGAATTTTCGTGAGCGAGCTAAGTAATCAACAAATCGAATACTCGAACGAAGCAAATAAACTCATATCTAAAATAACATTTGGAAAACGCAACGAAGAGGATGCAAGCTTCCTAAATTCTTGACTGTTTCATATACTTTTTATATCGTGGAAAACCGTCATAAATTACCAGCCACGAAAATCGTAAAGGTCGCGGTACCACAGAGTCATTCTGCAAACTAGTCTCACCCCCATACGTTCGTCCTCCACCCTCATCTCCAGCCAACCCGTTGTTACTGAGTATGTATACACGAGTACAAAGGGTCGGCCGACGTGAACGCGTTGCACCACGTCAGGGCGGTGTGATAATTGAAAACCGCGTCTAAGAAGCGGTTTGTTATTTTTCAATTTTACGTTTCAAGCAAACCTGGGCCCATTACTTAAATGGCATTCTTTCACTTCGGTTACCTCGTATTTTGCTCAAAGGAGTTTTCTTTCATTTCTCCTCTCGAAATAAAATTCATTGCCCTCGAATGAAAATTATTGAAATACCTGTTTTGATTAAACGAATTTAATTAAACGTGGTATTTTATATAAATTCAATTTCGCTCTTTGAGTTATTCAAAACGCGCGATGTTTGGTATTAGTTTAATAACGGCGGAGCCATTGAGGAATTGTTTGCTGTAGAAGGAAGCTCTCGATATTCAGAAAATAGAAAAAGCTGAAAGGATCAAATTTTCGGAGTTCATTCGGTCGATAAATTTTATTTCCAAGTCGATACACGAACGTATCTGCCACGATTGAAACTGGTAAATGTCACGAACCTATATTTTCTGAATATTAATCAAATCGATTCTTACATTCTCGAAACTACATCACGGTGCTCGAAAAACTGCCGCTCGTTTCGTACTTTCGCGGATGATACGGGCGGAAAAATGTGACGACACAACGGCAAAGGATGAAACTGGAAGAGAGTCGAAATGAAAACCGACCGGCAATAAAACCGAGATCCGATTTTAAATAAAGTTTCCTATCCAGCCCCTACGAGACCTCCTGTAATTTTTCGCGAATTTCATTTCGAACCGTATTCCCTGGCGACACACTGAAACGTTTGCCATCGAACCTATTAGATTCGACGAATCTCGATTTTCTTTTGCTTGTGATATTCGAATCACTTTTCTCGCGATACTCCACTTACCATGTAAAAGGTGAAACAAAAGGATGTAATTGATGGGTGAAATATACACGTGCTTCTATCTGTTTCTCGGCAGGTCTGTTTAAGCTACAGGATCTCGTGAAATCACCGCCTTCGGCGAGGACCGAAATGTACATTCGCCAGGCAGGACCTGGTTCTTATAGACAGGTTCTTCGAGAAGTCAGACATAAGGAGATCTACAAGTTGATCGTCGACACGGATCCTGCGCACATGCAACAATTTTTTCGAGCGGTGAGTCAAGATGTTTTAATTACGAAGCTGTTGTCGTTTATGTAAATATGGGTTTTAATGAAACATGTAGCATAGATAGAAATTTATTTCATTCTTTAGATATTGTAACGAGTACTTTCTTTTAAACATTTTTTAAATTGAACATTTATTCACATTTAAATTTTTCATAGATACATGAACATTCGTAGCCTAATAATTACTTAATTTGAGGATACCGTGTTAAATTTTCTAAACTTGTCGTAGACGTGAAGTTATAATCGTTATTATATCCATTTCGATTATGATTTGCATATGATTATATCCTCCGAGATTATATACTTTCACTTTAGTATTCGCATCAGTACCTGTATCAGTTATCAGAATCGGAATCGATCGGTATTCACGTGAAAGATTCAACGAAACAAGTGGTGGAAGATTTAAAAGGTCGAGTTGCTCTACTGGATAGTTCCTTTATCGTAGCACGGGACTAGTAGCATCTATACGAGGCGAAATATTATACCGTTACGTGCTGCATCAAGGAGCTCGCTACAGATCTCTGGTACGCAACCTAGGAACCCATAGAAGCTTACATCCTTACTCGTAGGAGCGGAAAAAGAGAACGACTAGTAGAAGGGGAGTGACGTTCGTCGATCGATACCGCAACTACAATGTGTATAGCTTCGGGATAGACACAGAACGAAGACCCATAATACTTGCTCGCGGGGTATTTAATCTCCGAAGTCTCCGTAATGCTATCGAGGACGATACATCAGGGGAAAACGATTTATAATTCGTTCGCGGCCGGGGAAAAAATATTCTCCGACCAATCTAGTGTCCTGCCTTGTTCTATGAAACAATTGAATGAATTATGCCGAACGAAGTTATTAGAATTCTTGTTTAGGACTACTGGGTAATTGTAGCTGATTTATCGATTAAGAATAACGAGGAGAAAAAACATGATTATAGAATATTTCCTATTTTTTTTATACGAAAGCAATTTTAAGAATCACTACGTTGGCAATTCTTTAAATTAAAATATAAATATTTCCATGTTTCTCTACTTCATCTCAATCAAGACAACAATTCTATAACCAGAAATTTAATACAATCAGATTTTGCTGCAAATGAAAGAACAGAGAAGTATGACTCGGAGAAAATTTGAAAACCACAAGGCAATTCAGGTAAATCCTTCGCTGGTAATTAGAACACGTCTGCATCTCGAAACTGATTACAGCCGGAAGAAGCCGGACATTTATTTAGACCGAGTGTCGGATGTCGGTACGAAAGAGGCGAGCAACGCGAATTCGTTTCGTTACTTACATCGTTATCCAATTGCCAAGGGATTTTCTTATTCATCCCATGGTCGTAATTTTCACGTGAAATAATAAGATAACAGAGCCGAAAAAGATACCAGAGACGAAGAGAAATGCAATTTGCTCGGAGGAGCATTGCAATTAGATTTACCGATAGCCACCGCGATTTCCCAGCACCCAGTCGAACTCTAGCGTGATATTCAACGATACGAGTTGGCTCCGTTTACGAAACAACGCCGCCACCCCAAAAATATCAACTATTTAAACAATTCCTCTGGACGCGAAGTAAATTGCGCTTCGCTTTCCGTTTCAGTGGATTATAATCAAAATAGGAGAACTTCAATGCGATTAGCGAAGCCAACTTTGAACTGTACAGTAATACAAATGATTAATCGTTTTTATTCATGAATTTAGTATTCGCATTACGAGAATTCTATTGAAAGTATTCGTTCAAAAAACAGACACAGGACGCTGTTAAAGATCCGCAAAACTCATGGAGCGCTTGATTTTCTTGAGTTCGGTAAAATAAGATTTTCGGTAAAACCATTATACGACTAACGTATTGTATTGGCCAGGTACAGTATATTGAAATTTCTCTAAAACACTCGAGATTTGTATCTGTTGGAACACAACGATATTAATCGCATACAGATGAGGTGATTGATCGAACGGATTCTTCCCTTCGTTGCCCAGCGATATCCCTACTAGCATGCGTTCGTGAGATGTACCGCGGCGGCTGGCGCGTGCATGCTCTTCCGAGAGTTCGAGGGAAGAAGCATAAGGACATGGATAGAACATTGGGCACGTCGGTGTGGCGCCTTGACGGCATAGCGCTTTGTATCGAGAAGCTACTAGAAGGTTCCGTGGCACATGTGACGCCACACAGGCATCTACTTAGGTCACACTCTTTGCTGCATAGAGAGTGGGGTTGAAAACCTTTTTAAGGGCCATGGGTCACTAAGTCAGTCAGTTAGAATAACTAGCCAACTGTCTACATTCCACAACACTCACTTATATTCCCTGTAATAATTGTTTAATAAATATCACATAATATTATTTCAACACAAACATTGTGTCTTCCGCAGATTATTAATCTTAATTCCGAGATTAAATTCTAACAATATCGAACAGAAATAACAGTGTGGAAGGACATAAAGAAATATTTACGCCGATCTATAAAATAATTCGCGAGTTCATCTCGTGAACAACGATAGGCGTACGGCCTGAACAAGCTCTGAATGTTTGAATTCTTGTTTGCAGCTAACGAAAAAATGGTAACGTTGATCAAACAGGTTGAATTAGAGAGGCATAGGGGATGTTAGCCAGATGAAATTGCCTCGAATGCATCGCCATCGTTCGGGCTTGACCTCGAACTTTTTGGAACATGGCGAAGCGACGCGAGAATTCGAACACGCGGCAAACCGTTGCAAAGGGTAATTTGCTTGGTGGGAAATTTGTTACCGCGGCGACGTTGGTATTTCTGTTCCGTTTTTAATTTCCGCGCTGCGCGCTATTGGTAACACGCGTTGTTTTGCGGTAACCTTTCAATTTTTATTCCAAAGTTTTTCTCGCTCTTTTTCCTCAATTTTTTCGAGCAAAAGGGAAAAAGGAAGGGGAAGGACGTTTAGTTGTAGCGAGTTAATGGAATTTTTTATCGCGACAGTAGCAACCAGACCACCGGAAGGCTTTCGCGAAGATCCTCAATTTTTCAACGAATATATTAAGGCAACTTATACCGTCTTTCTATAAAATGCTGTTTAGTCGCTTTAAAAAGACATTACTCCTGCAAGCAACTCATCGTCCTACAGTATACCGGCCCCGGTATTCCAACGAATTCATGAGTTTGTCCATGGCTTTTGCTCGCCGGGGGACTCTTTTCTTTCAGCGTTACTTGCCATTGTGCGCTTTTTAAAAAATCTTACAAAGAAATCCCGTATGCTGGAAACCGTCATAAATATTCATTACAATAAAATAAGATGGACTTTTCATTTCAAAGATTGCGCACCACTGATGAAAATCTAAAAACTCTAAAAACTGTACAAACTAGAAATGTTATGAAACAACAGGTATTTCCTAAAATAGGTACTTGTTCTCTTTTTCGTCTGTTTCGTACTACAATATGGAATACTTTTTTCTTTAGCCACAATAAGTGGCATAAAAGCTAACAATTTGACAAAAATGGATTTATCATATTTTTCCCGCGCGGTCTTTAAATATTGCAAATATTCATACGGCTGAAATATACCTCGCACAACGTTTCGAATGCTCAATAAAAAAAAAGAAAAAAACAGTTTACCAGTACCGATGGAAACGAAACGAGCAACTTGCAAATCCAACAACCAGTGCCACTATTTTTTTTCTCGATTCCGTAATCAAAATCCTATAGACCAAAATCCTGTAAACTGAAATCACTGCGGTTGCGAGCTATCGATGAAACGACGCGCGAGATTTCGGTGCGTGTTCGACGGGACGTTCGTTGGAACAATGACGAATATCGTCGTTCTCGACGATGGTTTGCCAGTAGAATTTACAGCGATATTTCTAGGGGCAGGTTTGTCCCGTCGTCATTGACGCGATACCGCGTCGTCCATGCCGAGGAGACGGTGTTTTTCACAATTTTCGACCTTTAACCCGCGTGACCGAAGCGCTGTGCCGAGAAATAATCCACGGAAGCATAGGCGTGGTGGAAATTGCACGGCATCGTACACCGTTTTGCGTCGAAACGGCTCTGACCTGAGGTTCCACGCTTTTTTCGCGTGTTCCACGGAAAAATGATGAACAGAGTTTATACGCGGCAGCGAATTCACGCGACAAAAATTAGCGCGGCTGGTTTTTACGAGACTCGTAAATAAACGGATTACCGTGAGTGGTTTAGTGCTGACAGATTGACAGCGACGATAAAGAAATTGCTCTCGTAGTTAATTAATAGGCGATTTTATCTTGCCTTTTCTCCCCTTCCATTCTTGTGACGTCATTATAATAGCTTGTGGATTGTGGCTTGTCGTTGAACTGAGATAATTACGACGCGTCGATGAAAGCAGTCGCTGGTTAATTGAATTGCCACGATATTCTTGGTTGTAGGACAGTCACGGATAATCACGTACGACGCGTTCGAGTATCGTAATGATCGAAACGTGATTCGTATTAACGATCGTTGATCGAAGGTGAGAGAAAAGAAATTCATTTGCCCTGTTGGAATGAGTTTCCGCCGGAAAGATTATTCTTTTAAATGGACCTCTACATATCAACCGGGTACAGTGTCTACGTATAAATAAAATAAAAAATAAGAGCATTAAAATTCGATATGGTATCTATCACCAATAAAAGCAAAAAACAAAACCCAGAAGTACTACGCAATACTTCAACTTTCAGTGTTCATTAAACGAAACCGAGATTACAATGACGTGTATGAAATTTCTTTTTAATTGCACTTTTTTTGGCCCACTATTACAGAAAACCGATCGATAGAAACGATCACGAAGTCGAATGCCACGCTCGATCCTCCGATCCCCTTGCCTTCGGTTGAGAGGCAATCTTAGTTCAAACGTGGTCGAAGGAAACTGGGTATTTGCATGCCCCGTCCCATAGGGATTCCTGCGGATATCCCTTCGTTGCTTGAGTAATCAAAAAACCTCCCAGCTTTCATACGGTCGTCTCCTCCCCCATCTTCCTCGCCTTGTCTCCTCCCTTTGTGCGTTCAGCTTTCTATCATGCTTGTTTTCCTTTCGTTTCTTCCCGTTTCTCCGCACACCTTAATCTCCTGCCTCTCCTCCTCGAGGAAATCCGTGCACGTTTCCATTTCTGCGAATGCTTTCTGATTTCAAATCGTGACTTTGGTTGACGTGTGGGATTAAAGTTGGAAAAAAGGGGCAGAAGATAATTTAAGGATCATTACGATAAAATACCTCGCGCCTTTAGGCAGGAAGTTGATTTAACAGATAGAACTGGTTTGATGAGTAAAAGATTTCTTCTCGTTGAACGTATTAGATTAATATTATAGGTACGTTTCATGCGATTGTCCAAAATGGTTTAATAAAGAAAGGAATATTTTAGGATAAAATCCATAAAAAAATGTCGGAAAATCTTGACTCTTCTGTCAGGAAAACTTTATTTTGCATTTTCATGTAAAATTTATCTCTTCAACATTTCTTTTTGAAGGGATCACAGACGTCTATCATTTCGCTACAAGAATTTACCAAAATAAATTTTCAAGAACTTTCCATGTTAAAGTACTTTATAATCTTTTCCCCATTTCTACGCGGTATCCTCGAAAAGCGCGAACGTTTGCGCCCGAAATCGGTGGTAATCATGTATCTAATTGCCATTTTTCTGGGTGTTACAGATTCTCCAACTGCAAATGAACGATTACAGATACCACTACATGTTCACCACGTTCGTAAGTATTGAACATTACGTCGATTTTCCATATCGCGTGTCCACGTGCAGCAATGAAAATTACAAACGAATCCTTTTAACCAAGTTCGCTTTAATACGGATTCGCGGAAATTGCTTTAGCTTCTTTGAAATGCACAGCCTAAAGTACATGTAAATTCGTTGCTCTCGATATTTCTCGACTTTTCTCAATGAAACGTTCACCAGTGGACCGCCGCGCCGATAAACGTATCATCGAGATCTGAATTACGATTTTAGTAATCTTAATGCAAACGCTTAATTGGCGTTCCTTGATGTTTTTATGGAAAAATAAATTTTTATAAAAATTAGTAAACGTTGTCGAAGACGTTAATTGGGTTTATCGTTAAACACACGAATGATTTCATTTTTCTTTTCTCTTTAAATCAAGCTGGTTCAAAGCTTGACAAACGTTGCAGAGTTTATTTAAACGAAAGGTTTCAGATTCAACGGCAAACCGAAGCAATCCTGAAATTAAACGTCAATTCGGTGTCAAAACGCAGCAGTAGTTCACTCGATTTATGTTTTTTTTTCCAGAGCATCCTGTTTTCCCCTGTCCTCATCCGTGCTTCACTTGGAATTCGAGCATAGACTGTGTCCGACTGCCGCGCTCGAAAAACGTTGCCGATAGATATTTCGAGCACTTTCACGAATAATTTCGAATGAAATTACAGGATTTTCGACAGTGACCCGGTACATCTGGTTTCGAAATGCCATTCATCGGAAACGTTCGGAATTTTTGAACGCGCACCGCTGCTCGTTAAAATCAATGAAAAGTATTATGAAAAAATATGTATCACGAATATTCAAAATCATAAATGAGTCAAAACAGATATAAAGAGAAGTCAAAAAAGAGGGCTGTGATTTGAAAGTATCGTATTTGCAACGAATCTATAAAGCAAAGCAGACTTAAAAATATGTTTTTTTTTATGAACGTTTACATAAATATCAGATTGCATATTTAATTAGACCATCATTGAACTGTCAGGATTCGAGAAACGCGACAGGGTATTAAATCGTGTAACCATGTTCCACGATCGCGTACGAATCGGCAAGCATTTGAATGAGTTTCCCTATAAGACACGGAGCATCGGTGTGTAATCCGCTTTAAGGGTCGGATCGCACATCCACAGGGCGATTAATGACCGAAAATATGCAAGTTCGTGTCGAAGTTTAATGTTTAATGAGGAATCGAGACTTTACAATCTGCTGCGTTTCCGTATATCATGAATTACTGTTAATTGCCTTTTACCATAGCTAGAATTGGGCAATGTATCAGAAGACGAAGATAAGCAAAAGTATTCAAACAACTTACGATTAAATTGAAAGATATTATATAACAAATAATTAGCGTAAAATGTTATGTGACAAATCCTTTCCACACACTTCTGTTTGATTTTTCAAACAGTCTGCGTTGCTTACATTTTCAATTTATTTATTTCTCTACTTTCGCTTACTTGTTTATACTCTTGTTTTTCTTAGACATTGTTTATTTATACGCTCGGTTTGTTTATATCTTGTTACCTGTTTATTTATCTTCTGTATAAGGTAGAACGTGTTTATCAAACTTTAACAAGAGTTCGCGAGTTTCCTACGAAAATAGGTATCGATGTAGAGATGTTTACTAGTATTCAGACGGGTGAAATAACGTCCTCGTTAGTTGACAAGTTGATCCGACAGGATGAAACTGGCTGATAATTATGACATTTATTAACAGGCAAACGTTGACCGAAATAATTATTCACGATCAAACGTAGAACGTTCGAGCAAGGCGAGGACAGTGTAACAAAGGGTCGTCTATGAATTTCACACGAGTGACGGGCTGACCATTGTTAATGTTGCACGTGCCTCGCACAGTGGTTCGGTATTACCTTTATAATTGTCGATCAGTAGAAACGCTACTCTGTGTCAGTCGTTCGAATTTGGAACGATGCGAGTCCATTAATATTATGTCGAATGAAACTTCCTAATGGCATGACATCAGGATCCAAAAATCATATTCTTGTGTAGCAAAATGGTGATAGGTAAAGTTTGTTTATTGAAGAAGTTAAGTAAGAAGGAACAAAAGATAAAATATTCAGAAATCTCTCTCATCAAACAATCTTTTCATATACCATGACGCTAATTTTACTAATTTTAATAACTCTGCGAAATTACTCAGAATATTAACTTGAATAACATGCGAGTATTTCAAAATGATTTGATTTCTATCAAAATGGATGTTAACGTTAAATAGTCTTTGACGTAGCTTCGCATGAAATATTTTACTAATATCGTAGTCCAAAGGGACGATTGCTTAGATAATAGTCTTTCGAATATATCGCAAATTCTCGAATAAACTGGTAGGTATTTGAAGCGTAGAATCAAAGAGATGAATCTTAATTGAATCCTAGTTCAGTTTTGATTGAGAATTAAGCGTCTCGTATACGAGCAATGATTGCATTCTAATACGTTCTAGATTAAGTCAACTTAAATTCTGTTTGTGTCTCTCAGTACTGCTGTTTTTCATCAACATTGCCGTGATACTATTGATTGATCTATATTTTCTTCAAAGTAATTTAGTATCCTACTTTCTAATTGATTTATTTTGTAAAAAGATGTCTTCCCGATAGTTCAGAAGAAGAAGCAATTTCATTTTTCCTATCTGAATGAAGTAGACAATACGCATCATATGTCAATGGAACCGTAATTGCTGATCACGTGTGACTCAGCTGTCGGAGGTTCTGACATCCAAGTTTAACGCAGGTTCTGTCTAATTGCCGTTAAACTATCTCGAAACTATTGTGCGCATGCCGCGTATTAGATATATTATGCGTGTATCCTATGTATATCATAACGCTATTAAACTAAGCAAATCAACGTTCAACACGCGTCACGTGTCTGTAATTCTTCAAAACCCATCGTCGATGTGCTAACAAGATTTGCATACACATTCTGGATTCTGAATACCCAAGTGGAGTTCGACTCTCGCTCTTATCATTCTCCCAGGACACGGAATCGCAATAGGAATTCTTCAACGTGTTCCATTTCGGAACACGTTACATAAACATAACCACGAGTCCTCGAATAAATCACTCACCCGGAACATTGATGGTTTACGACGGCAGACTTGTTCACGATATTACGACTTGAAGCAAGAGAAACGCATTTGCAAGAGGAAAAGAAAGACGAAAATCGGTAAAAACGACATAGAAGATCACAGTTGGTAGTCGAAGGAAGTTCGTTGGATACGGAAAGCAGCTTTGTCTGTCGGGTTTCTCGTCATAACATAGGTTTCTAACCTTTTCAGTTCACTTTGTTTAGCTTAACCATTTACCCGGAGCGATACACATCACTCTGTAATAATAATAATTATAGATCATATACAACTGGATTCTCTCGCGCCTCGAAAAAAATTGGTCCAGTCGATAGGAATTGAAAGAGAAGCAACTAAGCTTCCGCAGACCCCATAATAATTGTGCAGTTCGCAATAATGTTTTTCTTCAATTCAGAAACCATTTCATTCGGTCGGATAAGGGACCTCTGGCTGGAAAAAGTTCAATAGATTTTCGTTGACAAAGGAAACTCGCCCGATGTTGGACCGTACTCCTAAAAGAAACTGGGTTTCCCAGGTTATAGAAAGGATCGGTTGCAACAGGATGATTTTCAACGGAATTGTAATCGGTCGAACGCGTCCAATATTGGAGAATACAGTAGCAACTATATCAGAGTTTTATTAACAGAGTATATTACGTGAATTTATCTAGTGCGGGCGTGACTGCTGCAGACAACGTTCCATTCTGGCGCAATAAAGTGCGTCTATCGAGGGTAACGCGTTATTGACGGTTTTGCTTTGATTTTTGATCCGTAAAAACAACGAATTAGAAGTATAATAAAAATGCGGTGAAAGTTGCGTGAAAACTAATCCTTCGATAATTAATTTCAGGTATAATAATTCGTGAAAGTATTCAAACACTTGCAGAAACCCTTTATGGATGTATTATGTGTGTTATAGGAAACATAAAAAAATTTCAATTAATAAGGTGACTGATCGAATACTTTCGCGAGTCACTCTACATGCACTTGGACTAAGATGGGAAAAATATGATTCTATAGGACATAGAGACGTTCGATTTGGAGGATTTCAAGTACAACAGTGTTAACATGACTGCGTTTCGTTTGGTGGACCTGGAGGAACCGAAGGTTGCCGAAGTTCTGCGGCAGATGGAACGCTTCCAGCCGATTGGCCACGCGATCCTCAACAAAACCGGAGTTATACAGGTTGGTTGAAAGTTCAAGTAACTCTGTGGTATGCTCGCCACCGGAAATCGCTATCTATCGTCCCAGAACTCGTCTGTTCGTTGCTTTCTTGTCTGTCGAAACGGAAAACGGTTTTCTGGTTTCTCACAATACAATCGCGCGAAGTTTAAGAAATAAGAGTCGATGCCTGAGCATTCTTTCGCAGAGATGCTGGCTTAAACCGCATAACGCGAAAATATCGCGCATGACTGGACAAGAGACAGCGCCCACAGGCTAAAAGCAGTTTCAGACGGAGAAATAATTTTTGTAGAAAAGAAAGACTAGATATAGCGTAAGAAAAGTAGCGTGAAATCGGCTCTGGATCTTTATCAGTGTTCCATTTAATCTTGCGATTAGGAAAATTCGGAAACTTTTCTTTACGATCTACGTGAAATACGTAAGGAATAGATTATGTATCTATGTACTTGAGGATGCTTTTTCTTCTTATATATCGATCGAATCATCAATTATTAAAATATAATGCTACGGTAAAAATTTTCCCACGAAATTACTCTCACGGGATAAAAGAGAGCGTTCATTTTAAAACGCGCTTTATTTAAAATTCATACGATAATTGATTTCCAAGATATAAAATTCCAAAGCATAATAAATAAAAGCATAAATAAAAATTCTACGCGGAATTACGGAATAGCTTCTCAAAGATTTTGCAAGCTTCTCCGAAAATTCGAAGAATACAATAAAACATTAAAAACCTCTCTTTCTGTACAAACGTGATACGTATCAAGGAATAAAATATAATATTTCACACCTTCCGCACTAAAAATTTGTCCATAAATGTATCCTTGGAACATAGAGGGAGGTGTCCCTCTCAAAACGTACTTTGTTTAAAGTCGATACGACAACAAGTTACCGAGATATAAACCTTCGAAGCAACCCTGTACGGCCAGATAAGATAGCGAATGGGGATGTTGCGCGAAATTCCAGGAAAGTGGCGTGACCCAGTTTCAGTTCTGGGAACTGCGTACGTATCGAGTATGTAGTAGTAATGAAAAGACAAGCTGTGTCATTGTCCTGCATTGACCATCGCGCACGTGGTGCGCTTGAGATAGGTCAGTGTTTTTGGTGCGCGCGAGAGAGAGAGAGATACATCGAGCCATCAAAAATTACGGTGCGATTTGGACGACGATATCTCGGAAATGGATCGTCCGATTTGAATAAAACGAAAACGATTTTAAAGAGGGAGATTTACAGATTCTAATGGCATCAGTTTCGATGACGGATAGCCATTTTCGAACGAGTTATAGAACAGAGAATAAACGGCACTGTCTGATGGTTTCTAATCGCTTCAGATTATTCTACTTCAGATTATTGATTAACCATGAATGAAACGCTATATAGCGGGTTAACACATCGTATAATGAGGAATATGCATGTATGCGAGTAAATTGAGATTTTATGCTGGATAAAGTCTAGAAAATTATTGAAATCGGCTCGTAAAATGCGCTCGGTAGAAAAACGAATGCGTTTGCATTGAAAGTTCCATACAATAACGCTCTTTCGATCACGAAATTAATATGGTAAATCTATTTAATTAGTTCAATATTTATGGAAATTGGTCCGTATGTGTGTTCCATCATGCTCCGTTGATTCGCTAGCGTTTCGCTGCAATTTGCGTCTTTATTGATGTTACTTGTTAATATATAATTTTCGTTCAGTGAGTCAAATACTGTTTTCTTCCTACTCAGTGAAAATTAAAGTGTAACATAAAATCACGACTGTGTATACTGTACACAGGAAGTATTAAACTGGTAGAAATGACGAAGGAAAAGAGCAGACGGAACTATCGACAAGTCGATTTCTAGCTGTTTTGTCAGCATTTCAGTAATTAAGTGAAACTCGTGACGAAAATTGCAACGAAATTAAGATCGCTCGATCGACTGCACTCGAAACACGGCCTAGTTCCCTCGTAAGGGCTTTAACAATCGCGGATGGATTTTTTTGTTTGGAGTGTTCTTCGCATACAAAACAAAAATTTCTCGATCAAAAAAGTGTGATCGTTACCTAATTTTAACAAACTTTCTAACTCCATTGAGAATAAAGTTCCTGTGCTGCGATAAACACTTACAATGAACAATTTGATTTCGTAGATTCAATAAATTTCAAACGATAGATTTGAAGTGTGATTCAAAAAGATCTCTAAACTCTTTTCATCGTTCTGTCGAAATCTCGTGTACCACTTTTAGCGTTCATTATTCGATAAATCTACTTCACTGTAAATCGACAATGGAGTTTACACAGTAAAGTAAACCTCTTCTGTTAAGAGGAACTTTTACAGAGTTTTCAACTCATCTAACAAACTATCTAAAAACGATATACTGTAACTTAAGTCAAGGAAATCGAGATGCATGAATGCAAACAACTTTTCACAAGAGGGGAAACGTATGTTTCAGGCAGAACCAGCTTTAGTGTACGACAGCGTGCAGGTTTTCGCGCACGGTTTGGCAGCGTTGGATCGCAGCCACGACCTCAGGCCTGCCAATTTATCGTGCGAGAAAGAGGAGCCTTGGGACGACGGTCTGTCCCTTTACAACTACATTAACGCCGTACGTACGTTCTATAATTTTTCATTATCGAGTCAGCTCGCTTACCAGCGAGACCGCATTGCGCAACACGAGCAATTCGAGAAAGAAATACCAGCAATAATGGAACACGGAAAATGAAAGAAATATGGTAGAGTAAAAAATAATACAACGTTATGAAATAGCTTTATGACAATGTCGTCAAAGGAAATTCTTAAAGAAGCTCTGGAAATAACTCGTTACAAATTCTTATCGCGAACATAAAAAATTAAATTCCAATCAATTTTACAGAATGATCTCGTAAAGTTTGACTTATGCAAAGTACGTAAGAACCATTACGTACGTAAGAACAAGGAAAGTTATTCGGGGGAAATCGCGGGGCGTTTTCACGCGGTAATTGAAGGAAAACACCAAGCAGTGTTACATTCTTGTATTATTATTCGCTGAACTTTCATTTCAATATCATTGGCGATCATTCCCTTGAGATGTACCGTGCTTAATTCCATTCCGCTAACAAAATCAATTAACAGATTGAAACGCGCGTTTTGACGATCCCGCAGAGAAATTCAGCGATGGAATGTTTCTTGATTTTCCACCGACGCGACGCGACGGGACTGAAAACGGAAATTAAAAGCAGAAATGGAAGCTGTTACGAATGGACAGGCTGAAACTTTCTATCAATTTATTGGCGTTTCATTCACGTGCTTATTCAATGTTACCTTCGTTCACATCTCTGGTTTGAGAAGCAACCAGTTTTAAACGCAGATTTGGCTAATGAAATGCGTGTACATTGATATCTACGTACGGTTATATAAATTTCTACTCTTCTCTATAAATTCCTCCACTTTCAATTATACAGAAGTTATTTCTATTATTTGCCATTTTTAAAAAGTAGCTGATATAAATTGTCAGTTATGGAATATTCTCAATACCGTAATATCATGGCCAAAGATATTTTGACTATTTTTATTCGGATAAGAAACACATGTTTAATTCTAAAATTAAATATAAATACGATTTTGCTAATACGAGATTGATTGAAAACGTATTAAATTTTAAAACTGCTTTTCTATAAGCAATAGAAAATGTGATTTACCATGTTGTTGTACTGTAATCTACAATTATTGGAGCCACAAACGATATATAATGTGCAGCATAATCTCTTATAAACTTCTCGAAGCTTTTTTTCATTAGCCATTGCATGGTATCCGAAAACGATTGGTACGTTTACAGTAGGAAGAATCCTGGAGCCGCAATAATTTTCTTCCGGCTCGATTCGTCGATCGGCCACGTTATTGCCGATCCGGCGTATATCACGACGGAAGTCGGTTGTCAAACGGAGGGTGAACACAGGGAATCGAGTATATATCTCGAAAATTTGAACTATAGGCTGGCGCCGTATATCACAAGGTGCTTTACGAGTGAATCTCCTTTAACGAGCAGTCCACTCAACCAACAGAGCATGTTATGTAACGACACCTCGTGATTTTGCTTATTTATAGTTTACGGAGCAATCTTTTGAAGCCGTTAAATTTACCACCTGTTCGTTTTTCATCGACATCGACATCGACCTCGTGAACATTACCTTGACGATAGTTCGACGCTAAATTTCCAACGTCGTTTCATTTCGAACGAAAGCATAAATTAGTCGTTAGAAAGCCTCGAGTTCGAAATCTGGTTTAACTAATGAGAAATTTATAGCACCGGCAAAGCGTTTAATTTCGTTTATGGACACTTCAAGACAGACTGTTGATCATGGTTCATTTTGCCCTCAAAGAAAATAGGAAACATGTATGTCGAGTAAACGCGTAAACTGCTGATTTAACATATTACGACCAAAAATAATTACAAGCCTTTGAGCCTTGCTAGTTACCATGCTCATAGGAGATGTATGATGGCCTACGAACGTATTTGAGAGTTTATCATAGAAAATCATTATGTATATACTGTATGCGTTATATAAATTTTGATATTCCGAAATACGTAATGAGTGTTAAAGATAATCCTACTGAATACCGAGGCTTATTAGTATAATGAATAATTAACTGTTTAAATAAATTTGTGACTCAATACCTTGCAACTTCTACATATGTACATTTACAGATTTGTTTTAAGGTATACTAATGTAAATGGACATGAAATGAATACTTTCGTGAGCTACTGTATGCAGCTGCGTCCCATTCTTGTCACAAGCTGTTAAATTTCACGTGGTACCAAGCATCCTAGACTACGCGTGAATTTTCCGAAATGCTCTTTGCATTTTCCGAATCGGTTCTTGCATTTTATTAATACTCCAACATAAATATTCACACAATTCTCGAAGTCTTATCCCCACAAATATCTCAACTTATTATGAGCTACAATCCACTATATTCAAACTACATACGCATTAATTCACGTACGTACGTTCGCTATTAAAGCTATTTTTTTTTTTATTTGGTAGACTTTTTACAATCAATTCTCATTGAGAATTATAAGTAAATTATAATTGAAGTTATGAAAATATATTAAAACTATAACTATATAACTATATAACTATATGTAAACTATAACTATATGTAAATGGATCCAGTGAAAGCGTAGGAAATTAAAATGCTCTGTAACATCAGATTTCGGGACTGTCGTGTATTTAGAAATATTTTAAGAACTAGCCGAAAAGTGATTTTGTTTCACTACTCGGGCAGCAGCAGCCAAAGCTGCCAGAGAATATAAATGTAGACTGGAAGCTACAGCGTCGCCATTCGAGTGGGATATTTTTCGGGTCCAGCAGTATACTAGAGAATACGAGAATGATTTACGATCCGTTTAGGACACAGGGACAAAAGCCAAGCCTCGGCCCAAGTTCCGTTAACAATTCCATTCTCCTTAATTGCATCGTGCTGTATAAACAAGAAACGAGTCCTGGGTCACGCCTGGTACGTCTGGTATGAACAGAAGAGGGGAGTGCAAAGAAGTTTGGAAACTCTCTTGAGCATTTTCCGGGCGAGAAAAATGACTCTCGAGCACCCAGGCACTTTCTACGGTGTCGCAAAAAGCACGTAACGCGATCAGGAAATAAATATCACCCTTTATTCGCACTCGAGTCAAGCGTCACGAAGAAACCGTGGACTGTATCCGTCTCTTGTTTACCGATCCCGACTGGATACGATGTTTACCGCTTCACAGTCCAGGAATACGCGAAACCCGAGGGAATTCAATCGATACGGGTGCCTCCACGAAATTTTTATTCGAGCAAGAATGAGAGGAATCGCGATTTCCTGAATAGCGAGATCCGGAGAAAACCTAAAAGCTTTCAGAAGTCGGTTCCGCTACGGATTGAAAGGAATATCGTTTCGTTGATCAAACGATGCGGAAATCGAGTTAATGAAAATTGTTTTTCACGCGATATGGTGCGCTCGCAGTAAGAGTGCAACGGATGCGTTAATCACAGAAAAATTGTTCGATAAAAATATATCCCTGTTTGTTTGCCAGCGGCATAACAATGAAAAACAAACGACTATGGGAAGCGTTAAATAAAATTCTGTCTGTTTCGATTAAATCTCTGCGTCGAACGTGATATTAGAACGTTCACAACACGACGGTGTAATATTTGATATACAGGTAGTACACTGCTTAATCCGGATCCGGCACAATAAAGTACTTGATGTACAGGTAACACTAGCTGTCGCGCTTCTAATATACAGGTGTTTGACTACAGGTGTCAGGAAATTTAAGGGGTGATTCTTGAAGCCGAAATCAAGAATAAAAAAATTGCGTTTTGGCTTCGTTTTTTTAGTTAATGACAATTAAAATCGGACAAAATATTCCTGCACACGAGCAATCCTCCTTACACGAACGAAAAGAGGTCAGACTAAGCAGCGGGGCGTACAGTAATCCTCAAATCGAACGACACATGGGGTGGCAACTAACCTCGTACAAGTCGTAGAGAAAAAAGCCATGATATTCACAGACGTAAACGACCCCGCTCAACGTTTTGCAATAAGAATGTCACACTAAACGTTAATCCTGCTTGCTCATGGAAATCCATAAAAGCATATCGAAAACCGTTCTATGAAATTTCCGAGTAGAGGGAATTAATGTTTCTTTTAATCCCTTGCCTCCATAATTCACAAATAAAAAAACACATACCAATGTGCATATGCAATGGTCATAAAAGGCTCGTATAGATGAATGAATATTGATACGAACACCTAGTCAGGATTGCAGCCAATTATCCCATATTACTTGCCATATAATTAATAATTATACCAGTTATACAGTTAATTGCTTTACTGTATAGTGATATAATCAGTAATTATATATCAAATAATACTGATTGTCCGCATCTCACCGCGAGGAAGTGCTGCGAGTGGAGACTCACCTTTTCCCTTTTCTATCTACGTAATAATCTGTGGCGGCACGGGCCACGGAACTTTCCAACGGCTCTGGATACAAAGCGCGACGCCGTCAAAGCGCAACACCGACGTGCCCAATGTACCATCGATATTTTCACGCTCTTTCCGCCGAATTCTCGAAAGAGCATACACGTGCCAGTCGTGGCAGCACATCTAATGAATGCACGCTAGTGGGGGATATCGATGGGCAACGAAGGGAAGAATCCGTTCGATCCGGAATAAAAGGGCAGTCAGTCTGTCCTACGCCGTGAAATAAATAACTCCTCAGTACCATTGCATAGCAACGCGTCGATTGAACTCTTGGTGTCTATTGTTACTTGTTAATCGTTACCAGTTATTTGTTGATCGTATCTGTTAATTGTTATTTGTTGACTCTGACTGTCAATTCGTTCTTAATAAACTATTGTTCGTTAAAACATCTGAGTATTCCTTACGCACCTATCACAACACACCACCTCAAATCTAAACGTAAAAAAGGGAAAGTGAAAGGGAAGCGATATTGTATGGAGTATGAATTCTCTTCACTGGATGTCACAAAAAACCCTGAAACAAATTCAATCTGCGGAAGCTTAATAAAATTCTATAAAATACGTATAATTATTTCCTGTACTTAGTATAAGGCTCAAACATTATTTCGTAATATTAGCTTCTTTCTTTTCTTTGCTCGCTTCTTTTATTTCTCTCATTTTTAATATTTTTTTTCTTTATTTTTGAGCCTGAAACATATTAGATATTTAAGATGCTATGAAATGTTCAAATATG